TTTGTTGCGTTCAAAGAAGAAGGAGAAGGAAAGGGAAAGAGGGAAATTGAGAGTTTTTCATACCTAAATCCACAAATGCAACAAAAAATATAAGAAAAAGATTCATTTTGGGGGAAAAAAATTTTTTGCACATCAGAAGCTTCAGTTTTTGTTATGAATCTCAAATTAGAGGCTTTTAAGGTCAGGCAAGAGTTGAGCTTCTATCCCTTGTTGGGGAAGCCTCTGAATTTGGAAAGGAGACCAAGATGCCCCCCCATAATTCCCCGTTGCTCAATCAGGGTTTGGAGGGGAGGGGGAATCACAGGGGGGAACTGATGAAGGATATTGGAGTGGAGTCTGAGTTGGTCCCCCCAGATTGGCACTTAGGGAAGGAGACTGGAGACCCTGATTTGGAGGCAGAGAGGATGGCCTTGAAGGACATTGAAGATATGTTACCAAGGCAACGTTCAGAGAAGGAAGTGCCCTCAAGATCATCTGCAAAGTCATGAGTTTGTCTTATCAGGCATCTCAGCGGTTCCCACAACTATCTTAAACATTCATCCTTCATGGATTCTTTCTTCTGGGCCTTCTAGACAACCCCAAATCTGCTTAATTCTCATATCATCCAGAATAAAATTTAACCAACTCAATAATGGACAGTAAAGACTGCAAAAAAGGAAAGTGGACAGAAGTTTTTGTCCCTGCCTCCAAATAAAACTTTGAAAGGGGACTTAAAACACAGAACAAATTTAAGACTAAGATGGACCTTGGCCTGAACCAACCAACCTGCTCTTATGTTCTCGGCCCTGTTGTGTCTCTCATGTCCATCCTTCTCCCTTCCCTCCAGCCAAGCCCACCGTCACATCTCCCCCAGCAAGATGGACCCTGGTTCCCCCAACACCATCCTTCTTTGCACTGCGACTGGCTTTTACCCCTTGGTGATTGACATCCAGTGGCTGAAGAACAGGCAGCCAGAGAAGGAGGGTGTCACATTCAGGGAGGAGCTCCAGAATGGGGACTGGACATGCCAGCTCCAGATGATGCTGGAGATCCAGCCCAAGCACAGGGATGTCTATGCTTGCAAGGTGGGGCATGCCAGCCTGGAGGCCCCCATCACTGTCCAATGGGGTAAGTCCCTCCCTTCCTTCCTGGTCTGGGGTCACAATCCTGCACTGAGAAGGGGGCACCAGTGGAAAGACCCTCCCTTGTGTAGAGCCAGAATGGACCCACCTGGAGGAAGCTGGCCCTGATCCTCCTGCTCCTTCTCCTTCCCTAGAGCCACGTTCCTTCAACTCTGCCAAGAGCAAACTCTGGATGGGAACCATGGGGGCTGTGCTGGGGGTTGTGTTCCTGGTTGCGGGGCTCTTTTTCTACCTGAAGAACAAGTAAGTCCATGGGGGGCTGGATAAGAAGTTATGGGGAGGGAATCATCTAGCAGAGGCATCTCACCAAGATGGCAAAGTGGGTGCACTTGGGGCCCCGAATATCATGGCTGATGCTCCCACTGGGAAATTTGCTTGGGAACTTTTGTTCTTCGAGGGGCTAGAAGGGAATATATTATGGGCTATCGATGGGGAGTGGGACCCCCTAAGTGCTCCACCCATTCACGGGTCTGATTGCATCTTTTTCTCCTTT